GCTTACTGTGTCCTGTTTGTGGTCTAGCTTCTTGAGTTCATACTCTCCTGCTGCTTGCCTGCCTGGTAATTTTTATTAGATGCTAGGCACTGTGAATTTTACCTTACTGAGTGCTGAAAAATTTTCTCTTTTCACAAGTATTCTTGATCTTTTCTCTGGGGGCAGGGTTAATTGACTGGAAACATTTTTTTATCTTTTGAGATCGGGCTTTTCAGCTTCACTCTAGACGGGACCAGAGAGGCATTACGTCCGGGGCTAGTTTTGCCCTAACCCCGAGGCAAAAACCCTTCTGAGTATTGGACTTGCTGCTGCCCAAATTATGAAATTGTCTACTGTGGTTGGTGGGATGGAGAGCTATTCCTAGCCCCGTGGGAGCTCTGGGGATTGTTCCCTCTAACCCTTCGGGATGATTCCTTCCCCAGCCTAGGGTGGTGTCTTCATGTACCCTCCCCAGTGATGCTCTGCTAAGAGGGACCCTCTGCATATCTCCAGAGCTCGCTTTGGGTAGCTCTCTCCTCTCTGACGCTCTGTCCTTCAGACCCTTGCCACACTGGTGTCCCGCATTCCCAGCCCTGTCTCTTCAACTCAAGGAATTCCCTGTCCCTGCGCTGAGGCCTGGAAGCTTTGCCCAGGCAGTGAGCTGGGGTCATTGTATGACTTGCTTTGTTTGTTTCTCGTCCCTTAGAGATGACTCTCCTTCATGGCCTGATGTCCAGTGACTTCGAAATCATTGCTTTATATATTCTGAGTGTTTTTGAATTGTTTCAGTTGGGAGGGTAGAGCCAATCTCTATTATCCAATTTTAGCCAGAAGTGGAAGTCCTATTAGGGTATAAGTATGGAAGATATATATAATACCCACTAGACTGTCTATACCATATACATGAGCATATGTGAAATACGTACTATGTATACATTAAAATCTTGCGAATGTGTGTATATATATATATATGGAAGGCTTAACCAAAAAGTAAAAGCCTCCCTCTGTGTCTCTCACCCCTCAATTCCACTCTTGTCCCCCCTAAGGGTAATCACCCTAACGCGGGTTCCGCTGTATCCTTCTGGAAGTGTTTCCGTGTGTACAAGTTACACATATATATATATCATACCGTGTAAACAGTCTTGTATCTTGCTTTTCTTCCCTTATATTTTAGAAATTAATTCTTACCAACTACAGGTCCATCTTCTTTTTATGCTGCATTAAAGCATAAAAGCCATAAAAACTATGGCTTTTTATGTTAGCCATCCTGTATTGAGGGGCCGCAGTTGGTTCTGCCTTTATTCGTTGCTACGATCAATGCAGCAGTGAACACACGGCCCCGTGTGCACGCACTTAGCACTCATGGAGGCATGTATCTGCGGGGAGATTTCCAGAAAGATTGCTGGGTTATTAGACACCAGCCAGGGCTGGTGCTCTAAGCTCCCAAAAGATATCCTTCTTGAATCCGAAGTGGGGGAACATGCTTTGTTGTGACATGCAGGTTTGGGTTTTGAATGATACAATCTGACATAGATGCTGAGTCGAAAGCAGCTTCTTTCCGGATTTTCTGTCGTCGCCCCCCCCCCCCCCGTGTGTCCCTATTTTGCTGTTTTTCTAAGCACGGCTTGGAGCCACCTCCAGTCCCCAATTCTGGCTGCCAAGCAGGTGCAGGTGCAAGATCCCTGCCTACCCACAGGGGGCGCCCAAGGAATGCTTGCCGATTTGATTTGACGGCTGCAGAAAGTTCTGTGGCACGCCGCTGCTCCAGCCATCACTTAAGTAAGACAGTCTAGATGCTTTTCTTCTGTAGGTTGCTGGGCTTCCCATTAAATTCACAGACGAGAAAAATACTTGTGGTGGATGAGAGGTCTCTCTAATCTCTAACGTATTTGCTGAGGTAGATAATAGTTTTAACACTCCTGCCCTCTCTACAACAGTATTTCAGGTAATGGTTTTGTTCCTGGTTAGTTTGGATGCAACGGACAAATACAGAGATTACCTTTCAGTTTCAAAGACACTGAGTTTAGAAAAGAGTTCATGTATGAACTAAAATGCCCACTTTCCAAATAAAAATATCACACCTCGAAGGTCACGCTGTCCTTCACCGTTGTCTGTTCTGGGCACCGGCGATCACACAGAATGACAGAATGGGGAAGTTGCGAAGTTCTGGTTTCTTCCCATCTGGCCTCTCCTTGTATATCTCGAGTCTACTGTCTGAACACAGGGGTGCAAAACACCCCAAGGGGCTGGAGACGAAAATTGCACCCAAAGAGAGCGCCTACTGATTCCCAAGCATTAGGAACTGACTCTCAAAGCAGAGTGTAGGGAGCCTGCATGTGTTGGGGCTGACTGAACCCCGGGGGCTACGGGTCCTCTGAATTAACTTCTACGTATACTCTATTCAGTAGAGAATAAGCAATGAAAATTAGCAATTTTATTTTTATTAAATTTGTAAAATTTAATTTTATTTTATTACAGCAATAGAGAATAAGCAAAAAAAACTACCCAATTAGAAACTTACATTTTATTAAAACACAACAGTATCTTAAATAGAATTATCACAGGACCCAGCAGTTCCCCTCCCTGATATATATTCAAGAGGATTGGAAACTTGGACACGAATGTTCGTAGCAGCATTATTCATAATGTCCAAACGTCCATCCACAGATGGATGGAAACACAAGAGTGGTCCATGACACAACGGAGTATTATTCCAACGCAAAAAAGAATAAACTACCTGCTACGACATGGATGAACCTTGGAAATGCCACGACCCCTCCCTTGGTGAGGCGCTGCTAAAAGTCAGAGTTATACTCCAAAGGTCTTACTTTTAGTATTTTTCACTTGCTAAATTTTTAGAAGTTGATTCCTTGAGTCTTTTGGACTGGGCGCGCAGGCTTACCATTCCTTTTTCCGTGGAGGTAATAGCCAACTGTTCTCAAATGACCTTTCTCACTTAATAGCTTCTGACGTTCTGTTGCTTCATTCATCCACCCACGCACCCACCCACTCATCCATTTTTTTCGTTCATTCAACAAACCCCAGTTGTGCACCTGCTATGTTACAGGTATTCTACCAAGTGCTGTGGATGCAATGACAAGGAAAATCCAAACAAGGTCCTTTCCCTCCTAGAACGTATTTCAGAGTCTCACTTCAAGTGTGGTCCCTGGACCGGCCTCCGCTGGGGACTTGTAAGAAATTCAGCATCTCCGGGCCTGCCCCAGCCCAACTCAACCAGAATCTGCTTGCATGTGCTTGTATCTGCATACACGATCTCCAGAAAAAAATAGAAAAATCTGATTATAGTAGTTATATCTAGGAGGACTGGACATAGCTAGGGGCGATGAAAGAAATCTTTTTTTTTTTAAGATTTTATTTATTTATTTGACAGAGAGAGAGACAGCGAGAGAGGGAACACAAGCAGGGGGAGTGGGAGAGGGAGAAGCAGGCTTCCCGCTGAGCAGGGAGCCCGATGCGGGGCTCGATCCCAGGACCCTGGGGTCATGACCTGAGCCGAAGGCAGACGCTTAACGACTGAGCCACCCAGACGCCCCACGATGAGAAAAATCTAAATCTTACTTTATACCCTTAGATCTTGGTCACATTGTTATCTTTGGACACGAACCTTTCATGCTTCCAACATACCCTGAATCTTTTTGGTCCATTTCTTGGCTGCCCTGGATGTGTAACCACTTCCTGTGTGTGGTGTCTCATCTTAAAGGACCCTACAAAAGAAAGCGTTGTAGGTGTGGAGGGGGTCCAGAGCCCACCCTACAAGATGGGGGTGGGCGTCAAGGCTCAGTTCTAAGTTCTCTGTGGAAATTCAGTGAGTATATGTAAACATCAGAAATACAGAAGGTGCTTAATGTTATCTTCCTCTTGGTCCTCTATAGCCACTGTTTTCGGTCGTAATTAGGGAGAGAATTCCCCTTGACCATCACACTTCACTAACAAGGACCACTTCTTTGAGGGTTAGGTTCTTCTTTTTCCCATATCAGAAGGGGGAAAGGCCCCACACATCAAGTACCCCTCTTGTTCTGAACCTTGAGATCTTGTTGCTGCTCCCACCAGCCCAAGAGGGGCAGGTTTCTTGATGGGTAAAACCATTGGTAGAGAACAGAGGGTTGAATACTCTTTCTGGCACAATCAAGCTCTTGATTCTAGATGCCCGTTCGTTCGTTCATTCATTTGTCAGTGTGCTGGGTGCTGGGACTTAGTGGTGAGCCGGACAGACATGGTCTCTGCCTCACAGTCCCCCCCCCAACACCCTCTTTACTGAGTTAAGGTGTATTGAAATACGGCTTATGTACGGTGAAACTTACCCTTTCTAGCAGACAGCTCTGTGGGTCTTGACAAATACGTGGAGCTGTGTAACCCCCACCACAGTCAAGACAGAGAACGCTGCTATCACTGCCCCCACGTTTTCCCATGCTCCTTTGCTCCTTTGTGGTCCCTCCACCTCCCTCCACCCCCAGCCCCTGGGGGCCCCGATCTGTCTTCCGTCCACATGGATCTGTCTTTGCAGAATGCCATCTAAGTGGAATCCTACAGGATGTGGTCTTTTGAGTCAGTGGCTTCTACTTGGCTTAATCCATTTGAGATTCCTTTTTTATTGCTGAGTAGTATTCCATGCCCTGGACGCTCCACGTTGGTGCCGTCTTGGGGATAAAGAGGGGAGGAAGACAGCTAACCTTGACCAGATGGTCCCTGGGCTGACAGAGTTTACTACATTTTCTCCCAGAGGCAGAGTTAGGCGTGAGAGGCCGATCTGATTATTAGGGAAAAATAGATCAATGCATTTCTTACACCTCCAATTCTGCGGCTTGAGAAACTCCCCTTCACTTTGTCTTTTTTGCGTGCGTTTCGATTGGGACAATATGGCTCCAGCCGGCCTGAAATGAACAAGGGCCCCAGTAGAGCCCCACTCCCCCAGGCTTTATGACAACAGTGCGGAGTCATAGAGGTCCGGCCCATCCCTAAGAGAAGATCCTTCCCCTCCCTGCCGTGCCTTGGCCCCTCAGAGTTTCGCCCAAGGGTGGCTGATGGGGGAGGATGGAGTTTCTTGGAACCACCCAGACGACCAGTTACTGTGGCCCCAAGAAAGCCTGTGGCTTCAGTGCCCTGCCCCCGGCCGTGCCGGCCCCGGAGATCCAGGAATGTTACCAGCCCTATTACCTGCCTGGGTACCGCTACCCCAACTCAGGGAGACCCAGCCTCTTCTACAAGATCTCCAACGCCCAGACCTGCATGGATGAGGGAGCGATGTGCCTCAGCGCCCTGAGGCCACCCACCATCCTGCCCGCGCTCCGCTCCGCACTCTTCTGTCGCTACAGCCCCCATGACTGGGACAGGTCCAACAAGCTGCAGATGCGCGGGGCCGAGGCTTCTCGGCTGCGGGCCAGCCGGCTGACCGGCGACTCCATGCGGCTCATGCAGGACAAGGACCAGCTGACCCGCCAGATGCAGGAGGGGACCAGCCGGAACCTGGGCCAGAGGCTGTCCGACATTGGCTTCTGGAAGTCTGAGCTGGGCTACGAGCTGGAGAGGCTCCTAAACGAGAACCGCAGCTTGGAGACAGTCAAGAGGCGGCTGGAGTGTGTGGCCGAGGAGCTCAACTGTCCACTGCAGGTGAGTGTGGGTGAGGAGGGGGCATGGCAGCCGCTGGGAGGGCAGCCCTGGGCGCTCCGCTCCTCTCCAAGGAAGGTCGAGGCCACGGGCACTTTGTGGGTCGGTTCGCGCTGCATCATCATCTGTGATCAGTTCCTATAGCCCAGGATTATCCCAGTCAGATCGGGGTTCCTCAGACTGAACCGTATTTCCTTTTCTCCTTGGGGTTACGTCAGAACTGCAGAGGTTTTATCCAGACATTCCACACGTGCCTGTGTGTGCGTGTGGATGCGTGCACGCAGGGCGCTCTGTAGAGGGATATACTTAAAATAATGGCTGTATTTTTTCTCCATAGCCCTAAACATCTTCTAACATACTCTCTAACTTATGCATATATTTATTTATTGTTTTGCTCGCTGAGCTAGAATCTAAGTGCCACGAGGGTGGGGATTTTTGTCTGCTCTGTCACCAGCGTGTTCCAGACAGATCCTCCGCTGTGCTGGGCAGCATGTCTGTGTTGGTCCTCCATTGGCCGATGGCCCGTTGTCTGGGTCAGTGTTCTGAATGTCTTCCCAGCCTCCTACAGTGCTTGGCATATAGTAGGCACTCAGTAAGTATTTCCTGAGTAAACGAATACGTATCTGGATGCAGACATGCTCGACGCTCCTTTGTCTCCAGTCACATCCCGGATCAGCTAGGACTGCTTTTGGCGGCATGTAACGGACACCTGACTGCCGCTCAGCCAAGGCTCAGCCAAGTCGCGATGAGAATTCCAGAAGGAAACAGCAGGCTGCTGCAGCCTCCACTCGACGCCGGAGGGGAGGGGACCCAGGAGCCTGTGTTTCTGCTCTCCTGTCCTCAGCTTGTGGCTTTTGTCCCACTGCTCGGGAGGAGATTTCATATCTCCTGTTGCAAGCTCCTACTTGCAAGGAGCTTATTGATCTCATTTGAGGCAGGAAGATGGGGCAGGGCAAAGGGCACCCTGTGCCAACTGTGTCAGGGAATGTCAGTTTTCTGGAAGGGAACATCCTGCATTTCCAGACCCCTCAGGAGACCTGGCACCGAGCGCCTCTCCGACATTATGGGGACTCCTACTGTGTCCCTCTGCCCCCCAGGCTTCTCCCCTGAGAGGAGAGTGGGCAGGGGGACCTGAGGCAACAAAACCTGCTGCTGTCCTCCTCTGCTCTCCTCACCCCTCCAGCCTGTCTGGGAAACCCGGCTCCGTCTGGTCACTGGTGCAGCTCCTCTGACAGTCACGTGGTGGCTTGGCTGGGGGACCAGAGATCTCTCTGCTCCACTGCTCCCTGTCTCCAGGGCTGCCCCCCTCCTCCTGGACAATGATGATGCCTCCTTCCTGTCGTCCTCTCTCCCGCCCCCCTCCCGCCCATCTTCCAGCTAGAGGGGGCGATTTTAAATATGAAACTGGATCTCCACACTCCCTCGCTAAAACCCCCCTCAATGCACCCTGTTAACACCGAAATTCCTCGTCACCCACTCCAGCCCCTGCACAGCCCGGGCCCTGCTCACCGCTCTAGCCTCACCTTCTCCAGTTCCAGTGGCTCCCTCTCTGCCCCTCCTCCTACTGCAGGGCCTTTGCACCTGCTGTTCCCTCTTCCTGGCACATTGTTCCGCTTCGTCTCTGCTGCTTCTGATAATTCACGTCTTAGTCTGTCACCTCCTTAGCGAAGTCCTACCCGGCCAACCCCTACCGGTTGCTCCCCACCCACCCACATCCCCCTGACTATTCGCATCCAAGCCCTCTTCCCGGTGAGAAATGATTGCACCGCTTTGTGTGTTTACTTGTGTGTGTTCTCTCCTGTCTCTTAGAGCTCCTTTAGCGTGGGGACCCTCCGATTGGGTTGATTGTGGTCTCCCTAGCACCTTGATGGGGTGTGGTCGGAAAAGGGGCTCAGGAAATTCTTGTGAAATCAGTGAACCCCTCTCCCCTCCTGAGTTCCCAGATGCATTTGCATCCCAGCACCAAGACGTGGGGCTCCCTTGCTTCCTTCTCCCTCCTGCTACTCTTTGTGACATCACAGGCTCGTGGCCCAATCACCAGGCTTTCTCAGCCTCTCATTGCAGGAGCTCCCCTGGGCAGCCCCTGCTCCAGTCTTCTGTTCCATGCCGCTCATGGCCCCACGACCATTGCAAGGTGCGTGGCTGTGTGACAGGGTCTCACTTGGCCCTGGACACATTCCAAAGCCCCACCCCCGCCCCATTTACAGATCTCCAAAAAGGGATTTTCACACACATTCATAGGTAATATTTATTGAGCATATTCTGAGTGCTTTACATTTGTCGAGCCAACTTAATCTGCACGGCAAACCTGGGAGATATGCCCCCGTATTCTACCCATCAGCAGGCATGGCATCCCGCGGTCCCCACGGAGGGGGAAGGGGAGGTGAAGCCCACCCACAGGCACAGTGATGAGGCCACACGGAGCATCCAGGTTTGCTGGAGATAAAGCAGATCACGGCAAAGATGGATGTGAGTCGCCTGCGGTCAGGGTCTGCATATGGGTGCAGGGCAAACACACTCTTTCCGGCTGCTCCCTACAGGTTGCTCTGGAGTGTCTGTACCATCGAGAGAAAAGGATCGGGATCGATTTGGTCCATGACAATGTGGAGAAAAACCTTATCCGGGTAAGATGCTTCCTGGGTCTGCCCAGTCGGTCATAGAGGTTTCTGAGCTGCCTACCAGCAGCAGAAGCGACGTGTCACCCCACGCAAAGTCGGGGCTCAGAAAGCATTGTTGGGGGCCTGCCCTGCATGGAGAACAGGGAGAATTGAAGTCATGAGACCCTCAGTTTTTATCTCCAAAATGGGCATCGTCATAATACTGATAATAACAATAATAAAGGTAGCGTTTATGGAGCACCTACTATATGTCACATACTGTACCATTTCATATGCATTTTTTAATGTAATGATAAAACAGTCTACAAATGAGCACTTGGCACATAGTAGGTGCTCAGTTTTCTTCTAATCGGGAAGCGTATAAAAAAGGAAGAAAGTAAGACGAGGAACGTGGATCCTCCAGAGCTGACCCTTACCTGTCTGGCCCGGGGATCAGGTGGGATGAGGCAGGAAATGGACCCCGCCTTGACATTTCACCTTGGGGGGGAGGGCGGGTCAAGGGTGGGCGGCGAGAGGTAGGGGTGGGGTCACTTGCCTGGGAGGCCGGGGTGCAGTGACTTTCTAAGGGGCGCTGCTCTTTTTGACATTTTTCATTGCAGGAAGTAGATTTGCTAAAATGTTGCCAAGAACAGATGAGAAAACTAGCTCAAAGAATTGATATCCAGATGCGGTAAGAGCTGCTTCCTCTTCCCCCTCTCGGGGTCTGTTTTGGGTTTCCCCGGTTTCCGGGGGGCAAGCAGACGGGCTGTCCGTCTCTCGGTGGTTCTTTCAGTCAGTGGTGTGCTGGCAAGGGTTTTAACAACCAGCACTCCAGGGAAGAAAACGAAATCCTGCTCTGTCGCATCGGCCAAGGTCAGTGGTGTCAGTCAGTGCTGTGGCCGCCATGGCCGATCTCGGTCTCCCCGTGTGTGCCCCAGGTCTCCGAGACCCAGAACTTCACCGGCTGCTCTTTTTTGCACGTAGGGCCTTGACAAAAGAAATGGGCCTCACTGAGCCCCCCCCCCCCACTTAGCCTGCGGCTTTCCCGTGTGAGTTCCGAACTTGGGGAGATGGCAGAGAGCAGGGGGCTTTGGGTATCAAGGAGAGGAGGGGCCAGTGCCTCTCCAGAGGGGAGCTGGTGGACGCCTGGAGCCCTGAGTCTTCAAAAGCAATCAGCTTTTTGTTCTTGGAAGATGACATAACTGGTATCATGACAAGGCAGGAGGCTCCCCTGCATAATTAGAGGGAGGCCTGAGTTTTACAGGGCTTGGGGCCCCTAGCTAAGCCCTTGGCACTCGGCTCCCCTGGACATAGTCTTCCCTCCTGAGGCTGGAGCTGGGCACGGCCTTTAGCTCTTACGGGGCACGCTGCTCTGCTGGTTTCTCCTCATTTCCTCAGACACAGCACGAAGAGGCCTGGTCGCCTAGCCCCAGCTGCCCCTTCGGGCTGCGTGGGGCGTGTGGGTAACCTGGATGCTGAGGCATCAGGCAGCTTGCAGACAGGCCCTGGGGGCTGGCCGTACCCGCCCTCCCAACACACACAGAGCAGCCCCTCGCCTCCACTGAGGACTGGGCAGCAGGGACAGGGTCACCCAGGGCAGTGTTGAAAAGCTCCCTGCAGGTCTATGGGTGAGGTCCGGGCCGACCGCAGAGGCGGAGGTGTAGGAAATGAGGTGCCCACACAGCAGTGGTGCGGGGACCGGTGAGTGGCCGAAAGCAGGGCTGACTTCTGCCATGTGCACACCTCTGACCTGATAGCTGACAAGTCCAGCCCCCACTTGGACTCCTGTTCGCCTCCTGTTTGTCTGTAAGTTAATGTGCTTAAAAAAAAAAACAAAAAACCCAAATCCTTACATACTTGTATATAAAAAACAAAGGGAGCGCTTCTGGCAGGCAAATGTCTTAGTTGTGTTTTTCTTGCCCTTATTTTTATGATCACCTATTTTGGGCAAGAAAGAGTTTTCCGTTTGTGGTTGACATGGGGCTATGGCAGAACTTGGTGTGGGGGTGATGGAGGGCTGGATTTTGGGAACTGGGACAGTTTGAGCTGGCAGAGTAATAGAATCCCAGACCGGAAATTGGGGAGCTGGACCCTGGAGGGGAAATCATTCCAAGATGAGACTGGCTCGTGCAACCCCAGCAAAGAAGCAAGATGTGGGAGAGTAAGGAGAGCTGGAGAGACGGAGAGGGACAGACACAGAGCAAGAGGAAAAGCGAGGGAGGTAGGCACCAAGAGGTGAAGGCAGCTGAGGCAGGGAGGGTGGTGGAGAGAACGTGAGCTTGTGGACAGGCATCCCTCCCCTTTGCCAGGAGAGAGCCCGAGCCACCCTTGATAGAGGCTGTTTGACCTTGGGCAGTGGCCCGCTTGTCAGAGGATGCCTGTCTTCTTGAGGAAGCAGCTCGTGTTGCCAGGACTCCCTGATTAACCTGGAGCCGGCCAGAGCCTCAATGGGAGAGCCTCAGCGTGCCCTTGCCCCCGTGGGGAGGCTCCACCACTGACCCGCTCAGGTGGCCTCCCTGCATCTGGGCAGAGCTGTGTCCCTGTCTCACCGGAAGCCCCAGCAAAGCAGAAAAGCCTGGGCAGAAGCCGTATCAGGGTTTTTGCTTGTAAGCCAACAGCAGGGTGAGCATTGGCATAGGTTGGGCTCTATGTCATGGGCCAAGAAGGGGAGACAGGGGCCGCCTCCTCTTTCTCCAGGCTGATTCGCAAGGGCCAGGAAGCTGGGCCAGCCAACCAGGGATTCTGAGGCCCTGGGTCCCCTCTAGTGCTCTGGCATGTTTCTTTTTTACATTCTGCTCTTCATGTTCCAGTTCATTAAGCAGGCCAGGGCCCCGTTTCTCCATTGCTCTGCCAATTCAGAAGTCCCCAGGGGCCTCAGGATGGTTCCTCCTATCCCATCATGACTCCCCGAGCATTCTGGTAGGTGGGAGCCCACCATCAGGATTTACTTTGCTTGCTTCTGGCCTCACCAACATCCAGTATCCATAGCAGAAAAAGAAAGTGGCAAAAAGATGAACAGAGGCAGATGGGAAAGGGACAGAGAAAGAAACACAAAGTCCCTAAGACAGAGAGAAACCAAGAAAGATGAGGCAGAAAGAGAAAAATCACACACACACACACACACACACACACACACACACACACACACACCCCGTGTAAAATGTGCGCTGCTCACTTTAGTTGGTGTGTCTGGACATCAGCTGGCTTAGTGAAAGTTATTCCCTTTTTATTCCCTGTCACCTCGAAGCACTTCAAGGACACGGTCCCAGTCGATGCTCAGGTGTCTTTAACACTGACTAATCTTGTTTCAATCAAGACAGACACAGAAAGGTTCAGGCTTAGAACCTTCTGGAGCCAACATATTCTAGCTAGGATTCTGTTAGTGTTTCCTTAGTATTTATGTTTGAGGTGACCTTTTAACAGAAGGTGCTACTGATGGTCATTTAAAGACAGCGATGTAGATTTTCCCTTTAGAAATACTCTTATCTAGGGGCACCTGGGTGGCAAGAGGCACCTGGGTGGCTCAGTCGGTTAAGCGTCTGCCTTCGGCTCAGGTCATGTTCCCAGGGTCCTGGGATCGAGCCCCACATCGGGCTCTCCTTGTTCAGCAGGGAGCCTGCTTCTCCCTCTCCCTTTGCCTGCCGTTCTGCCTGCTTGTCCTCTCTCTCTCTCTCTCTCTCTGTCAAATAAATAAATAAAAGCTTAAAAAAATACAATTATTTATATTTTAAAAGTGATTGTTAAAAAGTAGTAAGTAACTTATAGTGCAGGTACTTTTGAGAATATGGCAAGAATCATGAAAGTAGTTCTCCAGGGTCTGGAGGTTGGCACACGGTGGCTTTTAAGTCTAAGCTTCCCAGCCAAGATACCAGCCCTGCAGGCCCAAGTACTGGCCCTGTCCACTGTGCTCTGCCCCTGACTCCGCCCAGTCCCTGATGCCACCCATCTCTGACTGTCCAATCTTTGGCTCCGCCCAGTCGTTGACTCCGCCCGCTCACAAATGCTGCCCAGTCGCTGATTCCACCTATCCCTGACTGTCCAGTTCCTGACTGTCCAATCCCTGGCTCCCCCCAGTCTCTGATTCCACCCATCCCTGACTCTTCAATCCCTGGCTCCACCCAATCCCTGACTCCGCCCAGTCCCTGATTCTGTCCAGTTCCTGACTCCGCCCAGCTCCTCACGGCGTTCAATGCCTGACTCTGCCCAGGGCATGTTTCAGTACCAGGCTCTGTTCAAAATGAGAATTCATATCTTCTAAATCAGGGCAGCCCAGTACAGCTGGAGGGCCATATCTGGCCTACTACCTGTTTCTGTAAAGTTTTATTGGGACATAGCTATGCCCATTCGCTTATATATTATCCAAGACCGTTTCCTGTGTAGTTGAGTGGTTGCAACAGAGACCATATGACCCACAAAGCCTAAAATATTTAGTATTTGACTTTGCGGTAGATATTTGCCTACCCCTGTTCTGAATGACAACAGATCTGCTTGGATTGGGGCGGGGAGGGAGAAGTGTGGGAAGGTTGTGGGTATGTAGTGGGGGCATCAGAATGGGAAGAGGGCAGAGAAACCACTGGGGCTAGACAGAGCACCCTTCTGGGAGTCCAGAGACTTGGCTTTCAGCAATGGCTCTGCACCACCCTCCTGGGTGACCTTGTGCGAGGGACTCTGGGTAAGTGCACAGTCTCCAGACAAATCCTTGCCCCACACAGGGATAACCGAGATGCCCAGCATGCTCTGGAGAGGGACCTCGAGGACAAAACCTCAGCCCAGTTTATCGATGAGAAGTGCTTTAACCTGAGGAACACGTCAGACTGCATCAGCTTCTTCCATGGCATGGAGAAGGTCGATGGCACGTAAGTACTGGACTCTTGGTCCCCGTCTCTGGCCGACCTGATGGGGAGTGAGGGCTTCTGGCTCTGCTCCTGCCCCTGCCAAGGAACCATAAAGGGTCATCATGCACCAGTCAAGTAAGAAGCAAAGTGGGTGAGTGGGGATCCTTGGTTGCAAGCCACAGAATCCAATTCTAACCAACTTAAGACAAGATGGATTTACTGGAAATTTGTGGGGGAGCCACAGTTATCAGGAGAAGGCTGGAGGGGAAGGTTCTAGCAGCATGAATGAGCCAGGAAGTGGGAGCTAATCAGCTGTATTGTCAGAGCATGAATGTCTCCCCATTTTTGCCCCCTTTTGCCCAAGATTCAAATCCCAGCAAGAGGGTGCCAGAGATTGGCTTAGGGAGGGTCACACAGCCACCACCACTGGGCCAAGGCATGCCGGGCACCCGGATTGGCAATTCCACCAAACAAATTCAAAACAGAATGGCTGTAACCAGAAGGAAGAGGGATCCAAGCTCAGCTGGGAGAGCCAACTGGACCCAGGCTGCCTGGCTTCACATTCAGCCTCTATACTCATGCTTGGGGCAAAGTACTTAATCTCTCTGGGCCGCCCCCCCTCTTCTGTACAGGAATAAAAATAGCGCCCACCTCCCAGAGTTGCTGTGAGTATAAAAAAGTGGGTGTGCGGGGCGCTGAGCACAGAGCCTAGTGTGGGGGAATGACAGCGACTAACATGTATTTGAGTGCTTGCCGTGTGACCTCATTTTCTTGTCACAGCAGCTCCGAGGTAGGTGCCTTCTGTGTGCCTGGCTCTGTCGTGGGCATGTCACTGTTTCTGGAATTTCAGGCGGAAGGAAGGCATGTTTTCCCAGTTGGCAGGCAGTCCAAGGTCCGGGATAATGAGGGCTAGACAGAGCAGTGCTCTGGGTACAGGGAGAGGGTGGTATCTATCCTGGTCTCTTAAAAAAAAGGGGGAGGGGGTGCCTGGGCGACTCAGTCAGTTAAGGGTCTGCCTTCAGCTCAGGTCATGATCCCAGGGTCCTGGGATTGAGTCCTGCATCAGGCTTCCTGCTCAGCGGGTAGTCTGCTTCTCTCTCTGCCTGCCACTCCCCCTGCTTGTGCTCTCTCTCTCTCTGACCAATAAATAAAATCTTAAAAAAAAAACCAACCCAGAAACCTTCTAGCACAATATAATGTGCAGGGCACGTAGTAGGTGTGCAGTGTTTGTTGAATGAGCGAATGAATGAAAAGAGGGAGGGAGGGGAGAGAGAGGAAAGGATTTTCATGGCCATCTCCTTGGCCCAAGCCCAGGGCCACCTCCTGGACCTTAGTAACTACCCAAGTGTTGCAGTGAGCCTTTGGGGTTTCGGCAGTGGCAACCGGGGGGGATCCTCCTCCTCTTCCTGACAAGGCGACCCCGCCACCCCATGGTGCTGGCTATGTGAGCAGGACTTCAGGGGCCGCAGGCCCCTCGGCCGAAGCTGCCCATCTGGAGTGGGGGTCTAGAGGGCTCCCTTCCCAAACAGAGGCCTCCCTGAGATCTCGTGGCCAGGGCCTGGCAGAGATCGGGGCGGACAGCAAGCGCTGGAATCACTCACCACGTGTACTAACCCAGGGCTCTCTGTATTGGGAGCTTTCTTAAAGCAGGGCCGTGTCTGGGCAGGCGAAAGGAGACCGAATGCAGGAGCCCTGCTTACCCAAGTTCTCGTCGCCGCGGGTTAACCGATGAGTGATGGTGCCGACCGTAGGTGCCCTTTACCTGATGTTTGCTGAGGGCTAGGCCCCGCTCTTTGCAAACAGCGCCTTGTGAATCATAAACACTTACCAAGCGCTTGCTGTTGCCAGATGCTAAGATAGTGGTTTCACATTTAGTCCCTCACCAACCCGAGGGAGGGGGTAGACACCATTACTATCCCCATTTTACAATGAGGAGACTAAGGCTCAGAGAGTTGAAGCGACTGGACCAAGCTCATGCAGCGAGTGGGAGAGCCTCAGTCTGAGCCCACGTTGGACACGGAGCCCGTGTGTTTTACCTCGACACCTTCCTGCCTCCCAGCAAAGCCCGCTGCTGTCTCCTCCATCCTTAGAGGACACAGGCCCCACAAAACACGTGCCCCTACTGAGGCACGCCACCTTCCAGCAGACAAGCTTCCTCTGGTACATTCCCCCCAGGGAGAGTGTGATCGAGCGGGTTATTTTCCCTGGACAGCACAGCTGTCTGCTCCAGGGGAGGGCGAGGGCTTAGAGCTTCCTGCTCCTGACCTTGACAGTGCCCCGTTCAGCCGTGGAGACACACTCCGAGTCAATGTGCGGGGTCTCTCTGCTGTCCCTGGTGCTCCCCGCCCCCCCTTCCTCGATTGATGGTGAGTAGCTGTGTGACCTTGGAAAAAATGCTTCACCTCTCTGAGCCTCGAGTGTTTGTTGGCTAAAAGGTCTGGGTCACACACCATGCCCTGTCCCATCTCCAGAAGACCAAGACACCCCCCCCCCCAACTACTGCTTGATTTTTTTAATTCCTGCCAAAGACAGACAAGACGATCACATATGATGTGTTCTTCTTAAAATTTCTATTCACCATGCAATCTAAGTGTGCTTTAAATGTCTGAAAAGAGACTTCTATTTTGGAAAATTGAGTTTCTCTCTCTCTCTTTTTTTTCTCCTGCCTGAGAAGGAAGATGTTTTATTTAAGAACTGGAGATTTCCCAGCTAGAGGAGACCGTAAAAAGTTACCCAGTCTGGTTTACCCCGGAACTGAAGGCAGCTCAGGGAAATGCGTGTCCCTCCTTCTCAGAGGCTTCCCAGAGGAGAAGATCCCCATGCCTGCCCGTACATCAGTTGTGTGGTGCAGGGGGTTACACACTCAGCCAGGAAGTACTTTCTGTTGTCTAAACTGAATCCCTTATGCTTCAGCGCCTCTGAGAAGGTTTCCCTGCCTGGCTTTTCTGATCGAGTCTGTGTCTCTGAGGTTCATTCCCACCCCCAGATCCATTCTCCCGCTGCCCTGATGTGAGTCCTGCAGCTGAGGCTGCCCACTGCAGACTGTCTTTCCATCTGGTTCCCGCTGGGGTTCAGCCAGGAGGAAGGGCGCCCGTGGGAGGCGGTGGGCAGGAGGAGGAGGTTGGGGGTTTATTCTTCCTGCCCCCTCCCTCTCCTCCGGCCCTCAGTGGTGACAGCTTTGTGCATTTACTAATCCCGGAGCCCCTCGCCACCCTCCAGTCCTTTCTCTTTCCTTTTAGGACCCTGACAGGCACATAAAGCCGGGATTTATAAAACTCCGTCAGCCTGTCCCTCCCCGGCTAAAGTCCCTCCTAGCACACATACCGTGTGCCAGTGTCTCTTTCTTTGATGTCCGTCTTCCTCTGCTGGAAACGTAGCCCCGTGAGGACAGGGCTGGTGATGTTCTTGTGTCTGGATCTATCCCAAGTGCCTGGAACAATGCTTGGCGTGTGGTAGGCGTTCAGAGAACATTCGTTGAATGAGTGAGTCGGGGCAGGCAGGATGGCCACGTGCTCATCGCTGAATTGAAAGGGGCTCTGCAGCCAGAATGGACCCCCGATGCCTGCTTCTCGGCCAGGCTCCATGGTGTTGGTGGTGGTAGTGAGAAGGGAGTGCTTGGGAAGGAATCTCTGTCTCCTCCCATGAAACTCCCACCAAGCACCCTTTGAAAGATCAGTGCTCGCTAGGCTGCAGCTGCCTGCCCTGGAAAATGGGGTGGGGGTTTGGATTCGCCCAGTGGTTCTCGACGGGGAGCAGTTGTTACCCCTCTCCCAAGGGACGTCTGGCGATGTCTAGAGACATTTTTGGTTGTCACGACTGGAGGGCAGAGGGGCACTGTTAAACTTCATATAGTGCCCAGGGTGACCCCCCGCAACAGAGAACGGTCCCGACCCAGATGTCAAGAGTGCCCAGGGTGAGACTCTGGATGGGGGGTTCTCCAAGGCCTGCCTTCCACCCCCTGCCCCCGGTTGCTGTCTTGTGTTAAGTTCATCCCTGTGCCTCCTGCAGGATCTCTGTGCCCGAGAGCTGGGCCAAGTTCAGCAATGACAACATCAGGCACTCGCAGAACATGCGGGCCAACTCCATCCGGCTGTGCGAAGAGGCCGAGAATCTCTTTGAGGCCTTGTCGGATCAGATGTGGAAGCAGTTTACCCACACCAACCTGGCCTTCAGTGCCCGCATCTCCGAGGTGACAGACGCGAAGAATAAGCTGCAGACGCAGCTGGCGAAGGTAAGCGAGATGCGCCTGAGGACAGCTGTCTGCCCGACTGAGTCCTTACCTGCCTCCCAGTGGTCTTGGCAGCATCTGGCCAAGCTGTCCACCTGCCCCTGGTGCTGCACCGGTCCTACCGTCCCAGATCCAGGAGCCTGTCCCCCGCTCCCCGAAAGGGGAGGGGGCCGTGAGCGTCGCAGGGGGATTCCAGCATCTGGGGTAGATCCTTCCCTGCTCCCCTGATGATGGAGCTTGGAGCTTAGCCTGGCTGTCTCACGGCCCGCAGGGTCCTTCACTCTATCCGAGGGCTTTGCAGTGGAACATGACCAGTGAGTGTGGGTACAGTTATCAGAGCCCCAGGAAATGGGCCCAAGCGGCTCTCTGCCCACATCGGCATCTTTGGAAATGGAACCTTTTGACCTTCAAAGGCTTCCATAGCATCAGGGGCGAAGGGCTGCCTGATTTTGTCACTATCTCCTTCTACTGCCATATCCCTTGCCCTTTCTACTGCTCCTGTGGGAATGCAGCGTAGTGTGGTCTCTCACCTCCGGGGGTGGCGTGGGGGGCCCTCTGCATGGAATTCATCCTCCCTGCTCTGCCGATGCTCAGTGAGCCTACTGTGTGCCAGACACTTGCCGGCCACTAGGAGTGAAAGGAGGGGCTGTGCAAACAGTTCCCTGGTTCCTGTCCTCAGGGGACTTGCATTCTGGTGGAGGCTGTGAAATATGCATACGGGAAGGACTTAGGGATGACAGTCTGATGGTGGGGGGCAGGCAGAGGACTAGCCTTGAACCCGCATTCACAAGACAGAGTTTTAGATACAAAAATATATTATGTATACATTATATATATATATATATACACACACACACACACATATGGGGCAGTTAGGGGGCTGTATGCAAGGGTCAATGGAAATGAGACAGGGGAGGTGTAAGCCCCCCACAGACGCCACCCTATAGCCTCAGGTATGGAGGGGGCTGAGGAAATGGAAGTTTCTAGGGTGAGGGAAGAGCAAGGAGATGCATCAGGGCTTCTCACAGAGACCTTATACCGGGTGGCATCAGGAGCAGGTCACTAGGGAGCTGGGCAGCCAAGGGATGGTGGAAAGGGTATTCCCGAGAGTGGCCAGTGAGTGCAAAGGCCATGTGTGGGATGAGGTTGGAGCACGGGGCAGGTTCAGGTCATACAGGTCCTGGTAGGTCCTGGTGAGGAGTCCGGATTTACGCTGAGAACAGTAGAGAGCCTCAGAAGGATTTGAAGTCAAAGGCATTGGGATCCATTCTCATCCTTCGGTGGATCTCTTTCCCTCCTGGATGGAACAGGGTTGCAGGGATCAAGAGTGGACACAGAGAGAGTGGTTAAGAGGCTGTGGAAGGTGTCCGGTGAGAAGGATGGCTGTCTGTGCCACGGTGGTGGCGTGAGATGGGAGGGGGAAGGGAGAGATGTGAAATAACTTGAGAAGGCAGAGTTAGTAGATGGGCCTTCCCTCCCTCGTTTACTGAACATTTTTCTATTAATCTTCCCAAAACAGGGTTGAGAAACTTTTCCTATAAAAGGCCAGGTCCTATTTTCAGCTCTGCAGGCCTTTTGGCTTCTGTCACAACAACTCAGTTCTGCTCATGTAGACGGCCATAGATAGTATGGACACAAATGAGCATGGCTGTGTTCCAATAAAACTTTATTTACAGAACTCAGCAGTGGGCCGGATGTGGCCCACTGGTCGCAGTTTGCTGATTTTGCTGACTCCCAATGCAGTTTTATGTAGTTCATCATCGCTCCTTCCACCCCATAGCATGTGGTTGGAAGCATGGACGGAGCGTGGCTGCCTGGCTGTGAATCCTGGCTCCACCATCTCTGCAACGCGGGACAGTTTCCTTAGTGCCTGAGTTTTCTCATCTGTAGAAGGGGGATAATAATGGTTCTGACCTCAAGGCTGCCAGAAAGATTATCTGAGTCAACGTAGGGAAACCAACACAGTGTTTTATCCACAGTAAGCACTGTGTCAGTGGCGATGAGTTAATATATTTAGTTGGTTTACTTGTCCATGTCTCTCCAGGACGTCAATTCTGATTCAGCTCTGTAGCCTCCTGCTTTGTGTACCACCTGGCACATAGTAGAAACCCCTTAAATCTTTGTTCAGTGATTGAGAGGAACCTACAAGGTTGAGTTGCCTGTTGACATTTTCTAAAGAATGATCCATGAATGAGTTAAGGCTTTTAATTTCAAGCCTTTTTTTCTTTCCTTTCCTCCTTCCTTCTTCTGGGAAAAAATGTCCTATTATTGCCGTTAAATAAACATAGCAAAAAATGTACCATCGTCTTAGTCTGTTCAGGCCACTGTAACAAAAATACCATAGACTAGGTGGCTTATAAACAACAGACATTTATCTCTCACAAGTCTCGGTATCAGGATCAAGCCGTGGGCACATTCGGTGTCCAGGGGTAGCTGGCTTCTTGGTCCACAGACATTGATCTCTTGCTGTGTCCTCACATGGCTCTCCGAGGTCTCTCTTAACACGGCACTAAGCCCATTCATGAGCCTGTTGGTGACCTAATCACCCCTCCAAGACCCCGCCTCCTTTTACTGTCACAATGGGGATTAGGTTTCGACACAAATTTGGGGAGACGCCTTCTGTCCATAGCAACCACTATGAAGTGTATAGTTCACTGGTGTAAGGTACCTTCACACTGTTGTGCAACCATCACCACCACCTGTCTCCAGAACGTTTTCCCTTCTTCCCAAGCTGAAAAGAACGCCTGTGTTTAATTAACTCTGTGCCCATTTAACCACTCCCCAGTCCCCTGTCCCCCTGGCAGCCACCATCCTCCTTTCTGTCTCTTATGAACTGACCAGTGCGGGTCACACTTCCACACAAGTGGGATCATACACTATTTGTCCTTTTGTGATGGGCTGATTTCACCGAGCGCAGTGTCTCTGAGGTTCCTCCGTGTAGCAGATCGTGTCGGAATGGCCTTCCTTTAAAAGGCTGCACAGTATTGCATTGGACATGTATCCATTCCTCCTCGGGGGGACACTGGGGTGGCTTTTTGGTTATTGTGCAGACATTTTCTATTTTTTAAAGATTTTATTTATTTGGGGGGGCACTCGCGCACAAGCGGGGGCAGGGGCAGAGGGAGGAGAAGCAGACTCTCTGGTGAGTGTGGAGCAGATGCAGGGCTCCATCCCAGGACCCTGAGATCATGACCTGAGCCGCAGTCAGACGCTTAACCGACTGAGCCACCTAGGTGCCCCAAAGGAAGATCAAGCATTTTCTCTTGATGAGGCTTTTCATATTGTGGGTCAAATACAGTGCCTTGTCATATTTCATGGCATGAGGTGTGGAGGCCTGGGGGTGACTTGGGAAGCTCATTGGTGGGTCTCAGCGGCCGGCTTCTCATCCGTGAAACAGGGAATGAGACCTCTTACTTGATGATGTTACTTAGAGTTGATCAATGCATAGATTTTTGTGGCATCCTTAGCACAGGGCTTGGCGCATGGTAAACATTCAATAAAAGGTAACTCTAAGCATTCATGTTATTATCAATGAGGACAAAAACGATCTTTTGGGTGGAGGTGGGGAGCAAAGCCTTTTCCCTGAATTTCTCCAGGGAAGTTTGGGATTATTACTAATAGTCTCATTCCCGCTGATGAGAGAGTTTTTGCAACCCTGTGGATTTTTAATAATATTCATTATCTAATGACCAGCCGCTTTGCAAATAAGCCAGCACCCATTTGAAACACACCAAACCCCAGCCCGACACCATTGACAACACTGCCTGAGCGAGGACTTGTCTTCTGGTTGGTGATGATCCCGTGTTGTGTTTTTCTAAGACAATAAAAGGAATTGGAACGAAAATAAACGTATAGCAACCATTTCACCTTTTGATGGTTTGCTTCAGCTGGAGGATTTGGAACGCTTCCTTTAAAATTTTAACTTAATTGTTGAGCTCAGCCTGATTCTCCTTGGCAAGAAGCATTTCTGGAGAATTCTAGGCCCCCGTCCTCTCCTGGGCTACAAAGAAAGTATTGCCCTAGTTGTCATAAGAATCCGCTTGGAAAGACCAGGTCTACACGGTTCCCCATGCAGACTTTGAATCCAGCAGGGGTTTGGAGGCACGTAGGCAGCCTTAGCTGTTCGCTGTGATCCTAGGGTTCCATCCCTAAGGCCACACCCCAGACCTTGGAACTTGGCCTGGACCTTGTCCATGCATTTCATCATTGCACTCTGGGGCCTAGGGTGTGTCCTGGTCATATTGACCTCTGCTAGAAGGGAGGCTGGTGACCTCTCTGGGCTGAAGCGGGTGATGACCGGGGAGCAGACTGCTGTCTTTGAGAACCGATGCCCTCTGAGAGCCACCCCCGCCCCTCCCCGGGACTCCAGATCAGCTTAAGTGCCCACCTGTATCCAGTGACCCAGTGCCTCGTAGGGGTGGGCTCTTAATGTGGGGGAAAGGCGTGAGGGGGGAGGTATGGGGACACTGCTATAGAGCAGTGTTTATCCTGAAGTGTGGGAGCCAGGCCCTGGCCAAGGCAAGTGAGAGTGGGTGTATCACAAGCAAGAAAGTGGTTCTTCCTTCAATCCTGTTTCAGTCCTTGACGTGATCTCAAGGCGAAGTCCTGATCACATGCTAGAATGCCTTCTTGGCCTCTTTTAAACAGAGAGTGCCGGCCTCGGGCTAAGAACTTGGGACAGACGGCAGCGTCTAGCCAGAGTTTAAGTAACGTGGTTTTACGTGCATCTCGTTTCATGCATTTTTATGGTTATTTGCACTTAAGGCAAATGATGCGGATTTTCCACTGATCAGAGTGATACAAAGTTTTATTTTCAAATAAATGCTTTTGAGGGTTTTTTTTTTTTTCTAACAGTTGAGTGGATTTGCAGGAAAGGTTGTTCATTGTGGGATGTGTGGTGTGAAGGGGGTATGGCGGACGTGGTAAGGGTGGTCGGTGGCAGCCTGACTCTTGGGAAGCAGCAGTGTGGACCCGTGTGTGTTAGATATTATTGCGTGTGCAGT